ATGCATTTAGCATTACGATGATACTATAATCGTTCATTTAATTTGTTGATTTTGAAAAAAAATGTTTTATAAATAATGTTTAATTAAACATACCTGGTTGTGTCTCACAGACTCCAGTAACAGTCCGCGAGATCAAAGTGACAACCAGAAACATAAACCAAATATTAGAATAATGCATGGTTCCTAAGGAAATAGCAAAAATAAGTGTGCATGCATATGTTTGAAATCAAACCGTCAATGAAATGAGAGAAGAAAAAAAACAGCTTTGCATAAAATGTGTCAACTGACAACAAGACTCTGGGTGAAAATACCCTAAGTACGAGGTTGAACACACAACTGCCTGTATATAAATTATAATTATTTATATTATTATCTTATTTCTTTTCTATTATTAGCCTAAACAGTACTTATATTTAGGCCCTGCAAGAAGCCAAAATTCCGAGCATTATTGACCATTGCGCAATTAGTGTGTCATGAAGTATTTCACTCCATTTTAATAATAGCGAAAACAAATTGTTTAAATTATTGCCTCATTTATAACGTTCCGTACGATTTACGAGAGAACAAACAATCACATTTCATTATATCCCGGAATGGAAAACCAATCCCTGCAGGAACACTTTTTTATGCGAAATATTTCGCCTGTTTCTTTTGAATTTCGACCGCTTGAATAAATTAATTCTGCATCATTGCTCACAATTCAAAAGAAGCAGGCGAAATATTTCGCATTTCGCTTGAAAATTAAGCCTGTGGAATTAGGGCTTTAAGCCGGTTTTCCACTAGTGATATTTTTCGTGCGAATCGACATTTTACTTTTGTTCCAGAGCTCTCAACTGCAACCATCTGGAACAAAGTGCTCAAATACAAAGGAATAAAGTCGCTTCGCGCGAAAAATATCGCTAGTGGAAAACCGGCTTAACGTGCGTGTATACGTACGTACAAAAAACGCGACAGTGGAAACAGCCCCAAGTGTCGATATCTCATCTAATACAGAGAGAAAGACATTTAGCTGTATTCAATAACAATTTCTGATTTCTGGTGAAAATCACTTATTCACTTCATAGAACTTCAGGTACCATGTAAACATGCTCATTGACGCTGACAGTCTATTGTGAAATGTGACCGCCAGCTCCGTGCATGTATGTGCGTTTTACCAAGCGTTAAGAGCTCTCTGATTTCGAAACAAAGGTGCTCTAACTGCTCTTCAAGTGTTAAAGAGGGTCCGGCAAACAGTAGTTATAGCTGTATTCTTTGGCACACACAGTATATTGTTTTACTGATGAACTAAAGTAAAGAAAAATCAATTCCTGCTCATAAATGTTGCTGTATCGGTTATGAGGCAAAAAATAAATGAACGTTGAAATTAATAATATGCTTATGAATAATTCTCGTGAATTAGCCATTTGTTAACGTCGGTTAAACACACATTAGTGAACAGTAATATTTGCTCTGTTTTGCTTAAAAAAGAATTCCTATCTCATAAACGTTCGCCACCTTTGATGTAAAATGCTAAGAAATTCATATATTTTTTAGTTTTAATACCAAGAGTATATAGAGATATAAGAAATATAATCATTCACGATACTATATAATTTATAAACAACGTATTGTGAAAACCTGACGAGCGTTAACTGCCCAAAATAAATATTTTAGTTATACATACATTCTGGTTTGCTGGTAGGCTGATATCCAGGGCTTGATCCTTGCTGTGTAATCTGAGTTAAAATAGTTCGGTGGTGCAAATGCTGTTACCAAATGAAGTGTATTTTGCTTTCATCATTATATTTCACACGCTTGTTGTTCCCATATACGACTGCTATAATTTGCATGACACATTTACACAACTTAGCGGCAAGATCTATTGACATAATCAAGAGGGAAGTTGACAGGGAGAACAGTTTGTCTACCACAGGATTTTCATAGGAGTTAATTCGTCATAACTTGTCCCAAATGGTTAATCTATTTGGGACGAATTAGCACGCGCGAATTACGACTTCTGTCTGCTTTTTACTTGCAGTTTTTCCGCCTATAGCGAATTAACCAAATTCTTTTACTTTCAGACAATTTATTCCGGAAGGAAGACTTTGATAGCTTGTAAACCACAGCCATCAAAACAAGTGGTTGTTGTAAATAATCAGAATTATTAAGTTCTGCCCGACGAATTTCTTTTGAAAGCTATTGCACTTACAAAGAAATCCGTCGGGCAAACTGAATAATTATATGAATAAACACCCCCTCCCCCAATTATCCTTCTACATAGTTTTAGCTCTGAATATTAGGGAGATTAAGCACGATGGCCAATAAATGCATGATGCGTCTCTAATATTATAATTATGCCACGCCAGTTATTCGCCATTTTCCGGTCCCCGTTGACGTTCGCGTCCTGACTCCTGATACTAAATCTCCCTAATAGTAGAAAGAACCACAGTTAATATAGTATGCATGATTTGGAGACTAAATAAAAGTACAATACAACTCATTAACTATGCGGCCAAAATGGTCAGACCGGTCGTATTTAAAATTGAAATAGAGTATTTCGTTAAGAATATAGCGATAAAACTAGATTTCCCGTGCTAGGCAGATGTAAATAACGATATACTTGAATGCAGTGTTCTTGAAACACTCTAAAATACCAGTAATCTGTCCGTACCGAAATACAACAGGACTGGTTTATTGTATTTTAGCCAAATTTACCAATGGCATTCATCTTGCTAAGCTCATCAACGTTGACTTGAAAAATATGCTAATTATAAGATTGCTATTGGTTTATCGGTGCAAAATACAATAAACATGTGATTAGAAAAGAACATTTTTTTGCATAAATCTACCTCAACATAGTTAATGAGTTGTATTGTAGTTTTATGTGGTCTCCAAACCATGTATATTTTATTAACCGTGATGTGAACAGCTCCTCAGTTTTGTTATGGCGCCCCGTGACGTCATGATAAGATCAGATCAGCATGAAGAGCGAGCGGTGGAAATACTGAAGGTGTCAAAGATGAAAAAGATTTCCAGCGAAGAAGTTCGGTTTTTAATGTAATAATCTAAAAGCTGGTTTTCATAGAGTACATAATACATACATGAGATAAGCAAATAAGCCTTTAAGAGTATGGTTTATGAATAATGACATCAGCCAGATTCTTAGGTCTTTCAGTCTCTAAAACGGATTTGTTACATGCGACAATGTATGTAAATTTGCCAAAAAATTGCTCAAAGTATTCATGCATAATATCGATGCATTACGTAATTGTGTGTAAATATAAATTATACGCAACGTGACGAGACATCCTTACATGACTCAATAATCAATTACATCTTGAGTAATAAAAATGGATGAATATTTGCCAGAATGTGCGATGCAATATTATTCAAATTGAGTACGATTACGTGCAGTGTTATAGCTTGTTACTATAAGTTATAACTTGTTAAGAAATATACATACATGTCAAACAACGTGTGGATAAAATATTGTGCAATAAGTATATGAACAGCTTCATGCAACTACACTAAATACTTCATCATACTAAATAACTTCATAAAGCGGAATTTGATTCAGTGTAAAACTCGGGTGGTCTAATATTTTCGATCGTTTTCTTTCGTAATATTGTAAAGCTAAGCAAATCTTTGCATCCATTCTTTTATTACTTGGGATTTTACAAACTTAAATATCTTTTTCCATAAATATTTTCTGGGCTGAAAAAAGCCATATTTTTCAAAGGTTTTAAAACGAACGGCTGTTCAGAAGCACTTCAACGAAAATAGTGGATTAAAATTTAACCCACGCGCAGGGTTAGCGCTTACCTAGCTTTGAAAAACGGCCCAGCTTTTGAGCTGATCGAATTTCAAAATTTTAATATCCAATGGCAAAAAATTGATCGCACGATATTTTGCACTGAATCATCCGATAAATGGATCTGAAGTAACCAATTTTAGTTCTAATAGATTTCGTACCGTTTTTACAGTGTAAATGATATTAAAACCAGGCACTATGGTGACCTATTTACAAGAATGCTCTATGCAATTTTGGTGTTAAGTTAATAAGATTATGTATTTCAATTTTCAACTTTTTATAGAATATGCATGTGTACATCAAATAAATAAAACTATCAGTTTCAAGTAAATGTGAATTACTGAAATTATTTAAAAGATCAAAGTTGGAAAAAATTAGGAGCGGCGGCAAGAAATCTTGTAACCTTTTGATATTTTCATGAAATTAAACTGAAGAACTTAAAATATGACTATAATTTCCTCATAGTAGCTCAAAGGCTTCTCTTGAGTCAAATCATCATGCTTCTGAAAGAACCACTTCAACACTAGCTACAAAATTAGTCGTCTTGTATTTATGCACGACTTTACCTTACAATCAATTCGTTGGCATAGTTATTGGTATATATGGGTAGCAATTTCAAAGTTCCTCAAAATCCTGCCCTATAGTTATATATTTCGTTCGTGGAAATGATGGCTTGCGATCAGTTTCCTATGATTATACACGTATATTTTTTTGCTCGGTTTAGAAGTCATTTTAATTTTCCTAAGGAAGGGAACGCTGCATCTAAGACAAAAAAGCGGCTTGAGTGATCAAAATGCTTTAAATATTGTAGTAACTAAACAATTATGATTGATGCCAGGGCTTGGTGATTATATAAACTTCAATTTTATGCATTTTAACGAACAGTTTTGAACCTATATAGGCACCGCCTTTAACGACTTGTGCACACGAGCGTCGTTTTTCGAGACGTCGTTTATTGTTTAGACATCTTTTTCACACGATCCAAGGAAAAATATGCTAAATTAGCTTTAACTTCTATATTGTGTATATTGACGTGTTTGAAACCGTTTTGGCATGGAAACGAATGTCAAAACGTTAGAAAACGTTGCCGTGTGCACATATCATTAGTCTAATTGTTTAAACGAGTTTTAATTTCAGTCAAGATTTTTGAGATCCCCAATGAGTTAGCTGTATTATATTAATGTATTATATTAATGTATTATGTATTATATTAATGTTGCTTATAACAGCCATAAAATTCGACTCTCATCGAGATGTGATCTCCCCAATCTGTTGGATGAACGCGAATGAACCGAGTGGAAATATAAGGAACAATCTTGTGATGGACAATGGTATTCTTGTCACTGTTAGCTTTAAATTCCTGTAGATATATGAAAATAGATTTTGGGCTGCGGTAATGTCGTATAGATAATGTAAAATTGATACAATCACGGCCGGAGAGACTTAACGTCTAGTCGTACGCGCACGAATCGTTACAAGAAAATCTATTTAAATTTAAAAGTTGAAAGACAAGGATACTTCATTATTTTAAATTTCCTGAAACATCAACAACTTATATATTTCAAAAATTTAGCCTCAATTTTCTACTTGTTTTGTGCCAATTTCAATCTATTTCTTAAAACTTAACGAAGGCCTCACGCAGTAGATTCCTTTCAAATTTCATTTCGAAATTATAATAATTATTAGTTTCTCTATGAAAAAAAACCAGGTTAAAATCATTTTAAACTTTTTCTACTGAAATGAAATAAAATTTTCAGGGGTGAATTTTCGCCAAAAACTTTCCGTTTCCGGTTTCGAAGCAGGGAACTGTGTGTAAAATGGAGCTTTATAGACCGAAGTCTTGACAGTACGGGCCGAGCGATAGCGAGGTCCGTACTATAAAAGACCGAGGTCCGATATTTTTGCAGTACGGACCGAACGAATTCGGTTAATAGGGGATTTATTATATGGCATACAGTATTTAGTTTATTTATTTATACAATGCGCTGCAGCATTCTTGCCGGCTCTTTCGCCAGCCAGTCGCCAAGCAAGCACTGATGTGGCTTCCAAAACTTATTTACTCGTTAAGTAAGAATGATACAATAATATAAACAAAAATCAAAGTTTCACATGTACCAAATAATGCTCTTCTTCGTCCATTCTCCGTCGATATTTTTCGTGTCAAAAATAAAAGTGCAAGCTTGTTTTTTTTTCAAAAATATGAGAGTTGGACCGTTACTACGGCAACGGTCTAATACTAGGGGATTCCAAATCGGCAAAGAACCAATCAGCGCACGCCATTTTAGTCACGAGACCGCGTGCCATATAATAAAATTAGGTATTCTATAAAATTGATAACTTCTTATTAATCGAGCGCGAGTTGTTTACTGAGAAATATCGAACCGAGATATTTTTGAATTGACCGAGCTCGCAGAGCGAGGTTTGTACAAAAGATCGAGGTCCCGATATTTGCCGGCAAAGACCGAGCAAGGGAGGTCAAAAAAGTTTATTATATGGCATAAGGCATGTATTTGCACTTAAAACAAACAAGAAATGCATGAATTCGTATTAGTAGGCTGGTACGTATTTGATAAAAACAAAAGCAAGAAATTGAATTATTTAGTTTAGCCAAAATGTCTTGAGTCTTATTAATTTGAAAAGCAAATACATTTCTCATGAACATTTATTTGTGGCTTTTTCATTCAGAATTTCTCTGTTTTTCATCTCGTAATGGATCACCGGTAACGCCAGTCCATTACGCAAAAGTAATGGACTGCTGAAAATTCATCTCAGCCAATTACTGAGCTCCATTTCACCGGAAGTGACGCTTGTCATATAATAATTCGCTATAAACGCTGTAATATTCATATTATCAAATTTTGCATAAATCGTAATCTTAAAGACCGCATCGTGATCGTCACGTGACTATTACATCCATTCTTTCTATACAATTAAGAATGATTTGAATTACGTGAACTGAAAATCATCGTCTGGGGTAAACACGGTGTTTGATTTGTCATATATCGTTAAAACTTCACAGGTTATAACACTATGCAATGGTGTCTAGAGACGTGGGGAGGTAGGTGATGACGTATTGCTTTTTCGTCGACTGGAACCCGGATCTTTCTGCAACCTTATTGGATCTTATACTTATATATTATTATTTGTGCAAAATACCTTTACTGCTTCTCCTGTGGTATAGACTTGGAAAATTTTCCCATCTTGGCTGGAAGAGACGGTGTAGCTTTTAACAAACTGATCATGTTCACTGCGTCCTTGGGTACTTATTTCTGTGACCATAGTGGATCTTTGAAAATCAACCTGAAGCCACTGATGAAGATCGTTGTACAAAGATGACCAAGACCCTGTTCTTCCATGACGCGGCGTGAAATTTAATCTTCCATTTGCCGCACCAAAGTAGATATCGTATTCGCTTGATGCCGTGATTTGGTTATCACGAATTTGACCATTTTCCATCCCGAGAGCCATCCGGGTGACTGAAATGAGAATGTTGTTGAATATTTAACAGTTATTCTGCGAACTCGAGTCGTATATGCGCTTATTATGTACACATGTACAAACGCTGGATAAAATTAACTTGCAATTTCATTCGTTATTTTCAAATTGTTTTAAGGTAAATCTCTAAATAATTTGTCTTTCTACGCATTTAAACGACTATATTTTTGTAGATACTAGTTTCGATTTAATCATCTTCAGTTTACTTTCCAACCGATATGAAAATAATGGAAAAGTCTTTACAAGTCTCAATAGATTATATTTCAAGAAACAAATTTATTCGTAATTTGAACAAAAGTGAATACTCGCATCGTGTTTTTTTCGAACGTTTTATGACAGAAAAACAGAAACAAAACCTATATTTTGGAAACCTACATTTTTTAGCCTACCGTTGAATACTTTTATTTCAAAGTTCGTCGACCTCTCGGCGCATTTTGATGTACTTCTATCAAGGAAAACGTGAATTTCATCGTCGTTTAACCCCCCAAATCTCGGTGCCATTTTGTTTACGTTTGTCTACTACCCAGATATGAGCTAATATCTGTCTGGTAAAGAACCAATCAGATTGCATGTTAGCCCATATCCAGCACTTGTTTATATATATATATATATATATATATATATATATATATATATATATATATATATATATATATATATATATATATATATATATATATATATTAAATACTGATATATGTATTTGACTTTAGAACAATGTCGACATAACTGCTCTACACTATTAAATAATATTTCTAACAACGAGAGCAAGTTTAGTTACCGTTTTCGCAAAGTCTTCCTTCGTAACAATCTAAACATTGACAGAAATATTGTTCGTCTGGATCCCAAATCATGGTTCCACCATTATAACATTCATTAACTTCTGCCTGGCAGGCTTCCTTAATGACAAAAGATACGATCGATCATGCATGCTTTAAGCACGGCACAAGCTAGAGCGAGTCTTTTGGTAATGACGTATCACGTTTTCCTGATCCTAAACATAGGTCGGATCTAGGATTTTTCGCACGTTAGTCAAAATGATCGCAAGGTGAAAACGGGGTGGTGGCTCAATTTCCCTCCCCCCGGAAGAATTTGAAAAATTATTAACTATCAAATGAATCCGAAATTTATACGAAAAATGATACGCACAAAAATGGTTAAGTGGTTAATGAGCCTCTAGTTTTAATATAATTAATAGCATGCAGAAACATGTGTGTCCAAGAAAAGGCAATAATTATTACATGGTTTGGTGGTGGCATTAATCGTTGTACTGTTTGACATAGACATGAATTTTTACACATTTTTGCGAGCATTATAAATGCCAACCTTGGATTGTTACATGCAGTATATCTCGTATATCTATAATATTGTAATATAGGTACTTTGTATTTTAAATGACTTTAAATAAATGCAATGAAACAAGTGAAAAATTGTTGCCCGTTTCATGTCATGACAAAGTAAAGAGGGTTTCTTTTTTAAATGAAATTGTTGTGTAACATTTATGTTTTCGTTCCTATATAACAAAACACTTAATGTACACTACCTCGGGAAATAGTGAGTTTGTTCGAGAGTCTGAATGTTTCCCGTGACGAAGTCGAGGGAAACATTGAGACTCGAGGGAAAACAAAACTCACTATTTCCGGGAGCATACAATAAATGTATATTATTTTCCACTTTTTTTTTTACAAAATTTTGCGACTTTGTGTTTTTCTAATGTTAGCAGGCTCTCCTAAGATGTGGTGCATCGCCAATTATTTAATATCAATTCCAAACTGCTTTTGCGTATTAAACTGGAAAATGACGTTGAATGCGAAACAAAATATTTTTAGGAAAAATGGTTGAAAATTCTTACAAATTGACTTCTGTCCACGTTAATCTTGTAAAACGTCCACACTTGCTCTTCCTTGGTAACTTCTTGTTTGTCAAATTTATGCTCAGTTGTGTTGGTTAACTGACAGTTTAACCCCTTTCCATCCACTTTTTTCTTGTAATTATACGCCACACAAAAACGGTTTACAGCGCACTGAAGCTCACAAAATATGACCATTTCTTCTTTAAACTGAGCAATTACATTTGATTTCAATCCAGATACTCCTAAACACACAGATTACAGAGTCCCTGATTAACAAGGAAAGAACCAAATCCCGGGTTATCTCCCACAACAATGGTGCGTTAGGTGAAAGTTCGACGAGACACGGACAGGCAGGCCACAGGATCACGTTATAACCACGCCATTAGCGGTCACCTGTATCCCTGCAAGCCGCAATATCTTCTTGGAAACTTATACAGTATAACAACAACCTATCTCAGGTTAACTACATTTTAGATTAAATATATTTTGTCGATTTGTTTCTTAATCCATCTAGCCATAATTTATCGTATATTAATTGCTTTTATAAAATACTTTTTTGAGTAATTTTGTTTTGATCAATGCTGTATTTATACTGTTTCTATTTCTACAAATCGCTTCCATAAGGAAATACTTATAAAAGTATGTAATAAGAAAACTAATAATGTGCAAGAAAAGTAAATCCATGTGCATTTGTCAGTAATTTTTTACTTTCTTGCTACTGTATTCATTGAAAATAGTTTGTTTGCTCTCACGGCTGAAAGCTTATATGAATAAATAGATTACATGGTGTATATCACAAACATTTGACAACTATTTAACATGCAAAATTCAAAGAGGTGATCGGCCAAAGGTGCATGTGGTGATATTCAAGAGATGATTGGCCAAAAGCAATTTACACCAAGATTGTAAGTCAAAGTTGTTGTAGAGAAACTTCAAAGCAAGTTAAGCCTGTGATAAAATTCTTGTACGTTTGCATGGTGACATGAAATAAGTATATATTGCAGCGATGCCCGGGTTAACGGACCGAAAGCTTTCCAGTATTATATAAATACTTGGCTGCGTGGTGTACTTACAAGCTAACTTACTTAAACCTGCTTAATCAGGCGATAGCTGCTGTGTTTCACGGCTTACTAGTTACCTTCCTGTGAAAATAGCCGCAAAAAAGGTATACTAAAATCAGTTTCTTTTCCGGAAAAATGAACAAACGAACAAGAGGCCTGTTCTGGCGTTAACTCCAGCGCACGTGCCAGTCTTCAATATAGAGCTTCTGAACATAAACAATACAGTTCATATTCGCATTTAGATGCCTTGCGAACCTAAATGTTCGATCGCTAAATTCAGAAGCACATCGTACTTTCAAAAGTATAGAAGTTCAATTGTTCAAAAATGTAAATAAACCGCATGATACATTCGCTTTGTCTTACACTTTGCCTTTGGCTTTGGAATTCGCGCTTATATAGTTATACTAGAAATACATGCATGCAGCAACCCCTAGCTATTTCAAACTAAGTACACAATTTCCTGAGTTAACCTGACCTAAACTTATATTATGAAATGACACAAAACTCAAATCAGTCTTATTATATTTTACCGAGTATATTATAGCTAATGTTTCCATCATTCAATACAAAAATAATCATAAAGCTAGTGTAAACATTGCCCGTTCAATTTTGCTGCATTATACAATGCCAGCAATTAAGTAACGGTTTAAAATCGAAGTTTCAAACGATTAAAACAGTACAAAATCTTCACAGACAAAGAAAAAACTTCAAATGTTATTTTATTCTGTCATTGCAGTCGACGCCGGCGGCTAAAAGTTTTATACTTTATAAATATAGTGTGTATTTTTGATACCAAAATTCAAATTACACTTTCAAAAACACTTTTTGAAGTTAAAGCAAAGGTCGCGAAGCAAATACGAAATAGACAAAGTAAACACGTACCCTTTGTCTTTGAAAACATTTATAAGTTTGCAGATTATGAATTATTCCTCTTACACGGCTTTGTTTTGACTGTATCCACGTTCATCTTTGCTAACTGTCATGCTTCATATATCTTGTTTCTTCTCGTTTTACTTTCTTTGCACAAAGCATAGGCAGCCCAATGGCGACTCGCGTGTTCAGGCAATGTAGGCATTATATAGTATATATATATATATCCTATAGGATATATATATACTATATAATGCCTACATTGCCTGAACACGCGAGTCGCCATTGGGCTGCCTATGCACAAAGTTTATGAAACGCTTTTACAAAAATGTTTACGAAATGACAGTTTATATAAATTGCTGACGTTCTCATTGAAATACAAACTTTCTGTCTTAGCCAATCAGAACGTTCGTTGATTACCAGACGTTACTCGCGCATGCGCATAACTTACAAAACCACCCAACGTCGACCGTCCATGACAAAGAATTTGGACAACTTTGGATTCGCCTATGTTCTACCGGATTCCGGGTGTAATTCCTAATCTCCCTGCGGAATTAGTACCCTCGCAGGCGCTCCGCGCCCGCTCGGGGATTAAATCTTCAATACTGTGCAAACTACGACGTGTCAACGCACCCATACACGACCACATCATCTTGTCAAACGGCGAAATAGCAGCGATATTTTTAAAATGGGACCAGAATCTACATGTATTAAATAATTATATTCTTACTCCAATTCAATCTAAACTTAATCGAACAGCATGAAAAGAACGGTTTATTTGTTCCTCTTGGAGGAATTGCCTCGTATCATGTGAGAGAAATCAAATCGCGCATCGGAAAATTAGCCAAAGCTGTGCACCACAGCTCTTGGGAGATAAGACTGGGACGTAGATAAATCCAATCACATACACATTTCAAATAGTATATTTCGCGCCATTACAGACCTGCGACGACGAAAAATAAAAAAAACCCAAAAAAAAACCGGGTCGCTGGCGCCGGAGTAATTATATGCCTATTTTAGATGACATAGATTCTGTCACTACAAGGTATATAGGTGTTAAAGTTGCCATGAAAGCAAGTAATATATTACACAAATTTCAACAGAAGCCAAAAGAAGCCAGATGGTAAATCTTCATAAACAAAATTAGTCATCACTAAGTGGCGTCGGCAAAAGGGTCTAAAACTTTGATGGAATATGACTTGTTTCCGTGGCAACGGCAACGCATATTCCTGGTTGGAATAGTGATTAAAGAATGTCATTTGAAATAGTTATTACTATAGAGAATTAAATTTAGTGTGTATGTATAATTTCATATCGTAAAAAATACAAAATGCCGTAGACAAATGGAATCTGGTCTGCTTCTTGCTAGAACTATTGACTTTGAAACAAGGAATATGCTGTGTTTTTATACGAATAAGGTTGAAGTGAAAAACAGCCCTAATGGCGTACAGATATAGTAATGCTCTCTCTATCATAGTAAAATGTTTTAAAGTAATATACAAATAAAACAACAAGAAAGTCGCCTACTTACCCCGACGAAGTGCGGGATATTGTTGAGAAGTAACAGTGGCGTAGCCAGAACGATAATTGGGGGGGCCAATATTCATATATTCGTGATACGCAGGTTCAATTTCTTTTCAAATCAATTGTCTTTACAGTCTGTTAACATGAATATATGAATATGGGCCCCCCCAATTATCGATGCTGGCTACGCCACTGAGAAGTAATGAGGCAAATCAAATGTAATAATATTGAAGATTGAAACCATCTAGGGATTCCATTGAGGATCTTCATCTTCGCTCGAATATTGCTTGTAAAGATAACGAAGAAACGTTGCCCACTTTAACTTCTTGCCGTTGAAAAGGATTAAATTAACGAATTTCTCCAAAAGCCAAACAAGTGCAGCTTGTCAGTCTTTGCAAACAAAATTTATTGTTGTGAGAAACGAGGAGAAAAACGTCCGAAATTACGAAAACATTTCTTGTTTCCGTGGCAACTTTAAAAAACACACGTTGTAAGAAAGCGAAGTAAGTCCGGTCAATGAGTGCATGTACACAAGTATTTCATGTAGTTTTTGTTCAGAAATATAATGAAAGCATTTGTTCTCAAAACTATTAAATTATCTTGCAAAATTTATAAAGATTCCTGAGATATCATGGAATCCTTATCAACCCCGCGCAGGCGTGAAATGCCATGCATGCATGGATATTAATTCCGCCCGGAGATTTAAATTACATCTTGGTATCGGTGACGCAAAATCCGAAATATTCTGAATTTTATGTTATGGACGGTCAACGTTACGTTGGTTTTGTTGTTTTTCAGTTGGAGCATATATGCATGCGAAAAGAAATCTGTCAAGGAGAACAAACAGGTGAATATGCATCCCCCGTCAATTATCACACTACGTGATCTTATGAAATGCTAATTATATTCACATTTTCTTAAGATAAATTTTAGGGATCCTTTGTGTCAGGCACGACACCTATTTAAGCCTGGTTTCGATCCGTATGACGCAGACCTGTAGCTTATTTTCTGTAATCATCCGCTGAGGAGAAAATGGTTTAAGAAAGGCAAAAGATTTTACACATCAATAATCACCATCATCAATAATACTTTGCCGACGTCGGTGACATATGCAAACCGGGCTTTATTTGAGCCTAGTTTGTACTCTCGCTCGTTACTTTCTTTACGACGAGTGGGTGATTAACAAGACGGAAACATCTGGACACATGGCCAGGAAATGTGGGGCAACCTGCTGCCAAACAAAAGCATATTAGCATATCATAAGCATATTCATAAACGGAATTTTAATAAAAATCTATGCGACCATAGTCATAAAGCAACGAAATTGCCACTCTACAATCCTAAGCATTTATTTTAATGCAGAATGGAAAAGAGCCATATTATAAGAAATGTAAGCCTGATTCTCTCTGGGCCGGTTGTACAGGGTAAGTAAAAAAAACCTGACACCTTTGAAATTTAAATTAGCTGCAATGTGCATGTCTGTAATCGGCTGTAATGAGACTGAAGTTGCCTAAAATATCTTATGGGTATACGAAGCAAATCAAACAAATTTACCTTGAACATAAAGTTTGTTCTCTTTGGGAGTTAAAATGCATTCTAAGCTCTGTAATAAAAAAGAAGGTGGAATTAGTTCAATTGGTTTAAACACTTTCGCATTAATCAACCACACGTCTTGTTGATTGTGCACAATGGGAATTGTCAAATTCCAGCCATAAGTTCGCAGCTAATTTGAATTTCAAA